AGCTCAGCCCACCAGGGGGCAGGGTTGGCTGGCATGTGGTGCTGGGGGATTGAACCGTGGTCCCTGTGCTTTGCTAAGCTTGTTCTAAGTAGGTGCCTTAGACCACTGAGCCATCTCACCAGCCCCAGTAAATCTATTTTTTATCTTTTTTCTTTTCTTTTTTTTGCTCCGAATGCCTTCAGGGCAGGTTTGGCTGGCTGGAGTTGTGGGGATTGAACTACTGCAACCTGAGGCTGACAGCTTTGTGGAAGCAGCCACTTAAAGAACTGAGCTAGGGCCAGGCCCCCGATCTTTTCTACCCATACTTTTCACTAAAGTCAAGAGGTAGAAGCCGGGCATGGTGGTGCAAGCCTATAATCCCAGTTATTTGGAACAGGAAATCATCAATTCAAAGTCAGCCAGGAGCCACGTATGGTGGCACACACCTATAATCTCAGCACTCAGAAGGCTGAAGCAGGATTGTTATGAGCTGGAGGCCAGCCTGTGCTACATAATAGAGTTCAAGGCCAGCCTATACTATATATTGAGACCCCATCTCAAAAACTCAAAATGGGCCGGGGAGATGGCTCAGTGGAATAAGCACTTCTCTGGCAAGCGCAAGGGCCTGAGTTCAATCCCCGGTTCCGCAAGAAAAAAAAAAAAAAAAAACTCAAAATGCCAGGGCTGGCCAGATAGGTCAGCAGACTAAAATGCCTTAGGTAGAGCACAGCGGCCAGGGTTTGATCCCCAACGTGCCCTGATGGCCTCACCCCCAGCAGCGCATGAGACTGTAGTTGAGACTGGACCACAATTGAGACTGGACATGGTGGCACACACCTGTAATCCCAGCATTTGGGAGGCTAAAAACTGGAGAATCATTACAAGTCTGATCTACGCAGTGAGACCCTGTAGACCCTGTCCTAAGATAAAAAAAAAAAGAAAAGAAAAGAAAGAAAGAAGAAAAGAAAACTCAACAAGTCAGCCAGGACAATTTAAGCAGATTTTCTAAAAAAAAAGAAAAGAAAGCCAGGCATAATCTGAACACCCAGGAAGATGAGACAAGATTAACCAGAGTTTGAGGCTAGTCTGGAATGCACAGAGACCTTGTCTCAAACAAAAAAAAAAAAAAAAAAAAAAAAAAAAAACCTTTTTTAAAAAAGGCTAAGAGATACTCAAATGTTTCCTTTTCAGTGATCTTTGCTCCTTCCCTTCTTTGTCAGAATTATTTCTGTTATATCATTTTGGTACTTTTTCTTTTTGTATAGCACCAAGGATCAAATTCAGGGCCTTGCACATACAAGTATTCTACTGCTGGCCCCCTTTTTTTTGAGAGGGTTTCACCAAATTGCCTGTATTGGCCTGGAATTTGCGATCCACCTGCTTTAGCTTCCCAAATAGCTGGGATTAGTCATGCGACATCCTTCCTACCCCTATGTTTTTTGTTTTTTACTAGAATTCACCTCTGGTACTTTTAAGGAATCTATTTCTATCAATTACTTCTCATATATGTCTTTTCCCTCCATTCAACAGATCTTTAAGAACGAAGTGAGTTGCCAGGCATGGTGGCACATGCTGTATCCCACTATGTGGGAGGCTGAGGCAGGAAGATTGCTGTTCAAGGCCTGCTCATTCAAGACTAGCCTGGAATGTATGGTATCTCCCCTCGCTCTGCAAATAAAATCAAACTATGTGTTGAGGTCAGCCTAGACATACAACAAAGCCTCAACTGGTAGAACTGTGCATGTCATATAATCAACCAGGGGCTGGAGAGATGGCTCAGTGGTCTAAAGCAGCTACTTGGAACAAGCTTGGCAAAACACAAGGACCGCGGTTCGATCCTTCAGCACCACATGCCAGCCAGCCTCGCCCCCTGGTGGGCTGAGCTGGCCACACACACACACACAATAAATAAATGTAATAAATAAATAATTAAAAAAAAAAAAGATAACTTTATAATCAACCAGTTTTCTCCCAGGGTTTTTTTAAAAAACAAGGTCTTACTACATAGTTCAGACTGGCCTTAAACTTACTATGTAGCAGAGGGTGGCCTCCTGTGCTTGTGGGGTTGATCCTCCTGTTTCAGCCTCCTGAACGCTAAGATTATAGGTATATGCCACCTCACCTACCTTGATTTATCACCCAGTTTATTTAAAAATATTATTTTTTTAAAAATGTATTTAGTACAGGGTCTCACTATACAGATTAGTGTAGTGATCCTCCTGTTTTCAGCCTCCAAAGTGCTGGGATTAGCACACCACCATGCCCAGTCTCAATCACTGTCTCCGCATGCCCCAGGGGCAGGGCCAGCACTGGCATACCAGGGATGGAACCCCGGGTCCCTGCATCTGCCTAAGCAGGCACTTTAATCCACTGAGCTATCTGGCCAGCCCTAAAATACTCTTTTATAGGGCCATATCTATAAACAGTCTTATTCAAGATTGAATCTTGGGGGCCTGGGATATAGCTCAGGAGAATAAGGGCCTGTCTGGCAAGTGCAAGGTCCTGAGTTCAATCCCCAGTACAAAAAAAAAAAAAAAAAAACAACACAACACAACACCTTTAGGGGCCGGGGAGATGGCTCAGTGGAATAAGTGCTTCTCTGGCAAGTGCAAGGGCCTGAATTCAATCCCCGGTTCCAAAAAAAAAGAAGATTGAATCTTATTCAAATAATCTTATATTTAGGTCTTAAATCACTCTTCACTGTTGGAAGGCAGCCAGAGATAGTGGTAAAAACTTGTGTATCAGATTTAAAAAAAAAATGCCATATCTATTCTCAGCTACTAAGCAGTCTTACAAGACAGGAGGATTGCAAGTTTGAGGTCATCCTGGAGAACTTCCCAAATTTCTGTCTCAAAAGGGCTGAGGACATACCTCAGTGGTATATGCCCCTGGGCTTGATCCCTAGTATTAGGAAGGAAAAAAAAGGAATCAGGCCAAGCAAGTTCAGTGGACCAAGAGCCTGCTTATGCAAGCACAGGAACCTGGGATCCATCCCTGGGCACGCTGAGCCCGCCACCGAGACCAGGCATGATGGTGTGCCCTTGTAATCCCAGAGCTGGGGAGGCTGAAGACAGGAGAAGCACTACAAGTCCAATCTTTGTAGTGAGACCCTGTACCAAATACATTAAAACAAACAAACATAGGAATCATACGGTGTCTTACTGATGATACTCTGGTTCCTTACTATAAAACTTATTGTAAAGTGTCCTCAGGAGGATGGCAAAAGTAGTCCAATCTGCCAGGCCCAGCCAAGATAATGGTGAACAGAGACCAGGAGAAATAGCTTTATTTGCACTGAGAGCTGGAGAATCAGGACGACCTGAGAGTATACTGAGCTAAGGATAGAGACCAGCTTCTAAAAGAGCAGTCAGAGCTCATCAATCAAACAGACTGCTGTATTTCCAAGCAGGCTCGTAGTTAGTACAATCAAGAAAAACCTGCAAGGAGCCGGGCGTGATGGCACAGCATGTAATTCCAAGCACTCAGGAGGCTGAGGCGGGAGGATAGATCTGAGTCTGCTAGGAAATATATTTACCACTAAATCACCTCAGTGTGCTACCATTGCAAAAAAGATACAGGTTTTCCATCATAATGAAATTTCCCCCAAACATCCCAATTATAAGTATTTTAACAAGAAATGCATAAAGATCCCATTTTACAGATTTTCAGGATTCAGCTCAGAGATCTCACCATCTTCAAATACCACTCCCTGCTATACTCTTCAGCTATGGATCTATCAAGCAGCCAGGGAATGGCCTTTGCTAGCCCGTGGGATCCACTTTCCATGTCCCTAGGGGCCAGGGCTGAAGAGCAGGGGAAGGCTCGGGAAGGGAGTGGGGAGGGCTAATTCCGCCCAGCACAGCGCGCGGCAGCTGAAGCTTGATGGGAGAGCAGGGCTGGTGAGACTTGAGGGAGGGTCCAGGCCCTGTATTCAGTCAGAGTCACTGCTGGAAGAGGAGGAAGAGGAGGAATGCTGCAAGGGGAAAGGGGAAAGGACATAGCATCAGATCCAAATGACCTTTGATCACTCCATGGGTGATTCTTTGGTGCCCCACCCCTCCACCCAGTATCAAAAGAGCAGTAATCTTGATCAAACTGTCCCTTGAACAACCACCACCAGGGTTTCCAGCAGCAGTGAGCAATCCAGGATTGGATTAAATCATTCCACATTACTGCACAGAACAATGCAGCTGTGGATCAAGTTTTCACATTTTCATACCTGAGCCAAGGCCAGGGGAAGGAGTACATTATAGGCACAAGCACAGTACAGTGTCAGGAAACAGCTGTTATCTTATAAATGCCTACAGATTAGCTGCATGCAAAAAACCTGCTTTTTGCAAAAAATCCCTTCCAATCTAACAAATTAGATCATATGAATCTAAGAGTACAAATGGCAGCAAGATGTACAGATCTCTATTTTAACCCTAAGCACCAACAAAAACAAAGTGAGGAAAGTAGACGGCTGGGGAGTCCTACTGAAGATTTCTTAAGACATACTCCCATGAATGCTACCATTCAAAACATTTTTTAGCCAGCCATGGTGACGCATGCCTTAATACCAGCACTGAGGGGGCTGAAGCAAGAGGATCTCGGCAAGTTCAAGGATGGCTTGGCCACATAGTAAGGTCACAGGCAGCCTAACTACATAGTGAGATGTTGTCTCAAGAAAAAAAAAAAGAGAGGTGAAGGCTGAGGCAGGCAGATTGTTGAGTTTCAGGACCAGCCTGAACTACATACACAGTGAGACCCTGTGTCAAAAAATGAACAAAAAAGGGCTGGCCAGATAGCTCAATGGACTAAAGTGCCTGCTTAGGCAGAGCGCAGCAGCCAGATACAATCCCAGGTGTGCCAGGCTGGTGGCGGCCCTGCCCCCCGGGCGTGCTGAGAGGTGACTGAGACTGGGAGTGGTGGCACATGCCTGTAATCCCAGTGCTTGGGAGGCTGAAAACAGGAGTATCACTAGGAGTCTGTTCTGTGTAGTGAGACTCTGTACACCCTGTACTAAATTCATTTAAAAAAAGAAAAAGAACAAAAAACTAAATTTTTTAGGCTCTGCACTTCTCATTCAGTCTCACTTTTTCACCTTTCCTTCTCATTAACTTTTCTACCAAAAAGATTCAGACTCAGGAACTAGAGCCCAAGCCCCAATGGGTGGCTTAAGCCTGGAATTCCCATGAATTTAAACCAGTCTGGGCTACATAGAATTCAAGACCAACCTAAACCAAAGACTCCAGGCATGCGTGGTGGCACATGCCTGTAATCCCAGCATCCAGGAGGCTGAGGTAAAAGGATCACCCAAAGTTTGGTCTACAAGGCCGGAACTACACAGCAAAACCCTGTTTCAAAAAAAAGTGCAAGAACCCATATCCACAAAGCAAATAAACACTGTGCAGTAAAATGTAATTTAAGGCCTCTTCAAGATTCAGGTTCATTTCTCCCTTCCCCAAATCCTCAGAGCTGCTCCTATCCTTGCTAAGGAGCACTCCTGCAGAAGGAAGATACTTTGGGGCTGAGTATGGAAGCCCCTAAGGCTAGGCTTCCTTTGAGGCTGAGTCATGAGTGGAACCCTGCCTATGTAATTAGCACAACGCCCTGAGCACTTTGATAGAGAAAGGAACCAGGGCCAGATTATTACTGTTAATTATTATATAAGACTTTGTCAAAAGGCTGACTCAAGTGACATTTGGACAACTTTGGTGGGTGTGCCCAACTTGCCAACACCTGCACCTGAGGGGGAGGGGCCTAAGTTCTGAGCAAGTAAGGCCCCCAAGATGGGCTTTTAACTGCTATGCATTAGAGGGCTTCCTTGATAGGGAGGAGCCCATATTTCTTCTCAAGAAAGGAAGAACAAGATTCCAGAGAAGCACAAAATTGCCACCTTCCATGGCCACAGACAGACTCCCCTGATCCAACCCCCACCAGCCTATCCCTCTGAAGGGCAGCACCCTTCCCTAGCTGGACTCCTGCGGGCACTGACCTTGCCATGCTTGTGGTGTTTGTGTGCCTTTTTATGAGCTTTCTTCATTTTCTTCCGCATCTTCTTGTCCATCACCATCCCTGGGACCACCATGCCAGGGCCCAAAGGGTTCACATGAGGCATGCCAGGGGCAGGTGGGGGACATGGAGGAGGATGGGGACCTGTGGATGGGTATCCTGGACAAGGCTGCGGTGGGGGCACAGGATAACCAGGCCCACATGGAGGGAAAGCTGGATTTCCTGGGGGAGCTCCTGGGGGAGGTGGACAGGGGCCAGGAGGAAAGGCTGGATTGACAGATGGTGGATGTGGTGGACACACAGGATAGGAACCTCCTGGGCACCCAGGATTCAGTGGATATGGGTTTGGCCCTTGATGCCCTGGAGAAAGAATCAGAGAACAAAGATTAGAATTGCTCAGAACCTCTGCCACCACCACTCCCACCACCACTACCACCCACCCAACCTCCTGCTAATATCAACATTGTAGCCAGGCGTGGTGCATATGCCCCTAATTCCTGCACTCTGGGAAGAGACAAGAAAACCACAAGTTGAAGCTTAGTCTGAGCAACATAGCAAGAGCAACACAGCAAAATACTGCCTCAAAAAAAAAGGTTAGGGATATAACTCAGTGTGGATGGTTGTAATCGCCAATATGGGATGGGGTTTGGAGTTGACTTTCTCACCCAGTACTTGAAGGGAAATGGCAAGGTAAGGTTAGAACAAACCTGAGAGGAGGAGAAAAAGGTAAACATTCATAAGAAGGCTGAGGAGAGAACTGGGCTGGGGACAGAACTCTAGTGAACTCTGTGAAGGTGAAAAACTAGATAGCAGAGGTCAAAGGACTTCACTTTTTACAGGTTTGAGAAAAGACTGGCGGCCTGATACTGTAAATTCCTGTTCTGCGGTGCATAGGGAAAAAATGGAGGGGTGCATAATGATGTGGCCCTGTATTTCCAGCCCTGGGAAAGCTGAGGCTGGAGGATCTCGGTGAAAATGCCGGGATGGTAACACACACCTGTAATCCCACACTTGGGTGGGTGCAGGAGGCTCACTGCAACTTTCAGGCCAGCCTGGGCTAGTGAGTTCAAGGCCAGCCCGGACCCTATCTCAAAAGACAACACCAAGAAATTTTAACGGATGGACTGAGAAAGATCCCCTAAATACTTACCGGCATTGGGATTCCACATGTTCAGGTAGTTCCCCAAGTCTGAGGAGATAAAAGAGGCAAACAGCTCACAGATCTCGATGTGAGACGAGAATCTAAAGCCTGAGCAAAATCCTGGCTTCTGAAACCTCTCTTGGGACCTACCACAACTTCCACCTGAGAAATGTTTCCACTTCTTTCTTCACATTGTACTCTAGTCCAAGTTTCCCACTCAGAGGAATCCAGTTCCCAGTCTCCTCCACCTTCTGGCCACACCCAGAGGTGTCTAACTCCTAAAGAGGCCGAGTTCGAGAATCTCAGGTCTCCACACCTCTTGTTCCTGTCCCTGCGCCTGAGTTCTTAGGACCTTAACCACTTACAAGGACCTCAGACAATCTTAGATCCCCAAAGAGGAGCCCACCTGAAGCTAGAAGACCCGCCTCTGGAGGAGAAATCGGAGGAAGGAGCCCCACATTCTCAAACGCTTAAACCCACACACCCCTTTCCTCCAAAGGAAAGGTAAACGAAAAGCCTAGCCCACAAATGCAAAGGGATTTCCTCATCCAGGAAAGGAGGAAATTAAGGAATGCAACGGCCAGGTCACCTTTCTACCTCTGAACAGGTTCAATCCGTCCTTCTCTGCAGTCTCAGCTCACTTCCTGCTTACCCGCATCTCATAGTTCTGCCGCCCGCCCCGCCCCCCTCCGTTACCGCCTACTTGGTCACTCCGCATGATGATTGGAAATCTGATCCGCCAATCACCGTGGTCCTATTAGACTAGGAGGAAACGGTTGCTTGGGGCGGGGTGGAGGCTTTCAGTCCGACCTAAGGAGCCACCGTTGTCGAAGCTCGTGGGGGCGGGGGTGGGGGCGGGGCGGGACGGGTAGGATGGGGCGGGGGTGAGGCGGGGGCAGGGCGGGGGCGGGGTGGAGCCAGGAGGAGCAAGGTGGAGCAGCTGGCCGTCTTTGTGACAGAAAGGAAACTGAGACCGTGCATGTGACACACTGTAAGGTGACAACATCATGGTGTTGTAATAGAGATATTCACAGATCTCTAGAAAAGGAAAGGCAGCTGCTGTATCCCAGCCCCAGGCTTCAATATTGCCAGCTCTCTGTAGTGTCCCATAAGAAGCAAACACCCTTGGGGAAAAAAAAGATTGCCTGGTTTCCTTCTCTCAAGTTGCACTGCACCGCCACTGTGAAGTTCCCTAAAGCGGAAAACTAAGAAGGTCCTCTCCAATACCTCTCTTTACCTTTCCTTAGCCCAGCCCCAAAACAAAACCACTAGTTAATCCGTTTTTATCTCCCAAATTGTCTGTAAACTCACTAATTCTGTCTTCCCTGTGCCCACCCTACCGTCTTCTCTACCAGATTGCTGCCGTGTCCACTTTAAAGATGAAGCAAAAGGACTGGGGGAGATGGCGCAGTAGAATAAGCGCGTCCCTGGCAAGCGCGAGGGCCTGAGTTCAATCCCCAGTTCCGCCAAAAAATAAAATAGAAGTAAAAACAAAGCAAACTGGGCCTCCTTAGTGCATGCCTGTAATCCCAGATGCTGAGGCAGGAGGATAACTGCGAGTTGGAGGTCAGCCTGGGCTACATAGTAGATCAAAGCCAGCCTAGACCACATAGAGAGACACTATCTCCAAAGCAAAACAAAACAAAACAAAACACCACGGATTTAACAATGTGATCTAATGAATATGTATAGAACTGTGGGCCCAAAACTTAAGGATTGCTCCTTTTTTTTTTTTTTTTTTTGTCTTCTTGAGACAGGGTCTCGCTATGCAGTTCAAGCTGGCCTTGACCTCACCTTGTAGCCCCTGCTGGTCTCGAACTTCCAGCAATCCTCCTGCCTCAGCCTCTCAAGTGCTGGGATCACAGGAATGTGTAATGTCACCATGCCAGGGTTGTTTATTTTTTAAGGCACTTTCTGTCATTATGCAACATGGCTGTGGGTGCATTGTGTTTATTCTTTATAATCTTCCTATTGATGAATTATTGTTTTTAATTTTATTAGTTTTAATATATTAAGCAATGAGTGCTTAACAGACGAAAAAAATCACAAAAAATAAAGTACTGCATTTTTAATATTTGAGTCTTTTTAATTTTTAAAATAATTTAATTATTTAGTTTTTACAGGGTCCCGCTAACAGTTCAGACTCCTGGTGATCCTCCTGTCTCAGCCTCACCAGTGATGGGATTACAGGTGTGCAGTACCACGCCCAGTTTCAGTCGCCAACACTGCACACCCAGGTTTCCAGGGCAGCATCACATGCGGTCAAACTAGAGTCTTTGTGCTTGCTAAGCAGGCACTTAGGCCACTAAGATATCTCCCCAGCCCTTAACTTTTTTTTTTTTTTTTTTTTTTTTTTTGCGGTACCAGGGGTGGAACTTGGGACCTTGCCAGACAGGTACTTATGCCGCTGAGCTATATCCCTGGCCCTGAATGTTCATAATACATCAAAAGTTTCAATGAAGACTGATAGGTTCAGACCCGAGTATAAGTTGCTGGATTATTATGGTGGTCATCTAACATGGTTGAAGCCCCAGAACAATAGCTTATCTTCCCAATGACCACTTTCTCCTTGTTTCCCACCCCCATCCTTTTCCCCTTGCCACAAGGGATACCCTAATCAGCTCCTTAGGTGTCACTAGACCTGCCCCTCAAACCCCACCCCTAGCAAAGATCTGTTTAACCAAAACGACATGTCTCAGGTCAGAGGATCTCCTTCATCTCCCCCAGAATCTTTCCATCTTTCTGCGTCCTCCTCAATGGCAGTAAAAGCCTTTCGCTCCCTTTCTTTTATTTCTGCTTCTCTGCTACACAGACAAAAAAAAAAGAAAAAAGAAAAAAAAACACAAAAAAAAACCCTAACAATGACTAGCTTCTGGCATACAAAGTCTAAACACACAAGAGAAATAAATTCCTGTATGGACTGCAATGCAAAATTCCTATATGAACTGCAATGAAAATATCAATAGCACTCTACCAAAAAAAAAAAAAAAATCTGTGCTTCAGTTATCATACCTAGGGCATGATACAGGGTCTCACTATGCAATTCAGACTCATAGTGATCCTCCTGTCTCAGTCTCCCCAGCTCTGGGATTACAGGTGTGTGCCACCATGTCTGATTTTGGGGCTGGCATGGCGCACCTGGGGTTCTGAGGTTCCAGGGCCAGCATGGCATGTGGTGCCGGGGATCACGCTCAGGTCCTTGTGCTTGTTAAGCAAGCATATGGGCCACCAAGCTCTCTCGCCAGCCTTAAAGTATTAAATTATTAATATGAGCCAGGTGTAGTGGCCTGTACCTGATATAATAGTGCTCAAGAGGCTGATGCAGGAGGATTAGTGTGGGTTCAAATTCAGCTTGCGCTACATAGTGAGACTCTGCTTAAAAAAAAAGGGGGGGTCTCTCTGGAAGATGGCAGAGTGGTGAGTAGCAGAAAAAGATCTCCAAGACTTGGTGTCCAGATCCTGAAGTAGGAAGTAAAAATTGAAGTCCACAAGAAGAGACTTCGGAGGCCCTGCAGATTTCCTTGGGCAGGCCTCATTGTATGCAGAAGCTGTGGTGGGGGCTGCCCTGTCTCCTCCCTGCCTCCTGCCTCCTGCCTCCAGTGGGTGTTGGATTTGGGAATGACTTCTTTGGTGAGAGTCACCACTGCTCTTGGGTTTCTTTTAGCCGAAAGGCTAGACCCAGAGTTGGATCACTTTTATCTTTCCAGTGAAATAAATGGTTTTTCAACTTAAAAAAAAAAGGAGAAGAAGAGACTTCAACTAAGAAGGAGGAGGTGGCAGGTGGTGCTTTCTCCCCCAGCTAGGACTCACAGCATAGGCTTGAGCCTGCAAAGCCACAGTGGCTTCTGGAGACCTCCAAGGAGAAATGCACCAGTGGAATGGAGCAGTACACAGAGCAGATTGCAGTGGCAGGTGAGTTATTTGGGTTCAGTTGTCCCCCAGGAGAGGGCAATCGGTCAGGAGTCACCTTGGAGAGGGACAATGCAGAGCCGCTGCTGGCTCTATCTAGCAGCTCCCAGTATCAGGTTAAGGCAGCCAAGTTCAAGTCAGCTGGAAGTCATGGAACCAAATTCAACCTGGCAGGGGGCTGAGTTCAAGCTGCAGGGGCTGTGTAGACTTCTGGATTTGAATGGATCTGGTACCAAACTCACAGCCATAAACCAGCTTGACCTGCAGTTAGAACTACAGCTGTAGGCTCACTGGGATTGCCCATGCCCCACTGAAAGCTTGCTGTGATTAATCAAGTTGGATCTCTCTGGCCACGTTTCCTACCAGTGACAGCAGAGACACATCTTGATGTGGACATTTTTTCTTCGCTCTCTTTCTCTCTTTTCTTGTTTGTTTTGTTTTCTCCTTCATTGGTTATTCTTGGTTTTATGTCAGAATGAACATAGTTTCTAGCTTTTTGTTGTCATTCTGTTGTTTTTTGTTTTTATTTCTTCCTTCTCTTCCCTTCCTGTCTTCTTCACAGGTTTCAAGGTTTGTATGATCTACCTTTGTAGATCATGCTTTGCTTCTAGTCTCTTCCTGTTCTTCTATTTCTCTATTTTTTTTCTAACCCATTTTAACCTTTCTAGAAGGGTAAAATTGCTATATGAGGACTTATTTACTATGTACAATTTTCTGGTTTGTTTTAATCTTTTCTATTTTATTTTGTTTATTTGGTACAGGGTCTCGCTATGCAGCTCAGACTGATAGTAATCCTCCTATCTCTTTCTCCCTAGAGCTGGAATTACAGATAAACACCACTGGGCCTGGTTTTGGTGGCCAGCACAGCTTGCCTGGCATTCCAGGGCTGGCACAGCGTGCAGTACTGGGGATTGAACCTGGGTCCTTGCACTTGCCAGGCAGGCGCCTAGAGCACTGAGCTATCTTCCCAGCCTTCAGGTTTGATTTAGATTTTGTTACATAATCACAAATATAGTTCACAATTAAAGGTGGAAAATTAATAGTTACCTCAGTTCATTTTCTAGGCTGTGTTTGATGTATTGTTATTTCTAATTGTATTAGTTTAGCCAAAGTGACATAACTGATCTAATCAGTTGTTCTTCCTGGCATACCAAGACAGAGGTTGTCTAAGGGTCATAAAAAAAAAAAAAAAAATACTATAGGCCAGTGCCTAATAATCAGGGGCTACGACAAGTAGGCAGCAATTTCTCAGCCCCAGTAAATTCAAGAGGGCAGGATGTTCCAATTAGAATCAGTGATTTTTTTTTTTTTTTTTTTTTT